ATTTTGAGGGTTCAGACTAGGTCTCATCATTCTGTCCAAACATCAATAGCTACCTCTTGCAGAGGTAACAATGGAACTTGTCTTCAAGAGAGATAGCCCACAGCAACTCACAGGGAGAGAGGACAAAGAGGACAAGAACACCAAAAGCAATATGAGACTGAGGAGCATCTAAGGAGCTTATGTTGTATGATCAAGCTGTAAGGAGTAGAATCAACTAGAACAAGATCAAAAGCCAGGAGAGGAATACATGCAACAGAACTGACACATGCAAAAAATAAAGGCTGAAGTACCAGTTCTGTCCTTATAATCTCAATTTAGCACCAAAAAACATACGCAAAGCTAGAAGTAATGACTACTTTATTTTGATCAATTCCAGTGGCAGTTTGTGAGCAGCCTGGATACAATAGCAGCATTAATTTATGTTGACATTTATTCTGTTTACATATAAATATGAGGGTTAGCTTCAGACTGTGACTCCTCTCCCTGAGGATATATTGAAAAATTTAAACTAATTATAGTAAAACATGCTTTGACTTAGTTTGAGCCCATCTTTTCAGAGCTACGCAAAAGTGTCTGCCTTCCCCCAGTCTGCTTTTGAGAGGCCTTCCTAAATTATTTGAAGTTGTAGTCCATGTAAATATCAAAACAGAAGGCACAAGAAATGTATAAAATGGCAAAGACATAATATTTGCAACCAGATAGATGCCACTTAACATAAACAGGAGAAAACTACATGGCCAGGAAGTGGAAGGGGAGAAAAAAACCAAAGGCCTCCTAAGAGATAAACCTAAAAACATATTCTTATGGAAAATAATTTCAAACTAGAAGGGGCAAAACCACTGTAGAAGTAGAAAAGCCCACTTTACCTCTACCTGAAGAACATTCTTGGGATATATACTAATATTTCTTTAAAAGCAACATCTCTGACTGTCATTATTCAACCTCTCAGAGAAATGAAATTGTGCAGAATTCATCAGAATAATCTGAAGAATTCCAGCAAACAGGTAAAACGTTCACTGCTGGTCTACAACCAGTGTTCCACATAGCATTCATCTGAACCCATGACCTCTCAAATTCTCCATTAGAATCATGGAATTGTTTAGATTGGAAAAGACCTTTAAGATCATCAAATGTAACTGTCAACCTATTACCAAGTCCATCACTAAGCCCATCCTACTGTCCCTAAGCAGAATATATGCATCTTTTAAATACACCTTCAATGGTGACTCAACCTCTTCCCTAGGCAGCCTGTTCCAATGCATAACTCCTCTGGTGAAGAAATTTTTCCTACTATCCAATCTAAATCTCCCCTGATGCAACTTAGGCCATTTCTTCTCACCCTACAGCTTGAAGGGAAGCCCTGAGGAAGAGACCAACCATCCACTACAGCCTCCTTTCAGGGAGTTGTAGAGACCAATAATGTCTTCCCTGAGCCTCCTCTTCTACAGACTAAAGACCCCCAGCTCCCTCCGCTGCTCCTCATAAGGCTTTTGCTCCAGACCCTTCACCAGCTCTGTTGCCCTTCCCTGGACACACTCAAACACCTTAATATCTTTCTTGCACTGAAGTGCACAGAACCGGACACAGGACTGCATGGATTTCCATCAGCTATCTCCACTGAGCCAGCAGAATGAAGGCCCTTGCTAGCACACCAGTATTTCAACACTGGCATGCTGACCCGAGGCTTATTTTTAGTGAAACTGGTTTTATCCCTTTCCCACTTTAAGTCTAGTTTAGAGCTCTGCTAACTATTGTGTGCAGATCCCTCTTCCCCTTTGAGACAAGTGTTCACCACCTGCTGCTAGCGGGCTAGGTGCCATATAAGCCAACCCACAGACTGCAAACAGAGCAAGACAGGGGTTTATGGTCACTTACCTTATAATATAGCCAACAAGATGATCAGTGTGGGGAAGTACAAAGAGTGATTTTCCAGAGAGGTCACAAGCATTACATAAAGCTGCAGCCCTCTCTGATGCAATAACATCTTCCCCTAGTGAAGTCAAGGAAAGGACAAGTAAGTGTATGTGGTGCTGCAATGTCAAAGTTTAAATGTCAGGTTATGAACCTTAGGTAGACCAAATGATCTAAACAGTATTGAAAAACCTAATAAAGATAAAACCGAGAGCAGATTCTTTCTTACTTCTTTCAGAGAACTATGTGCTTCATCCAGCAGAACACATACAGAAACTTTCTAGCAGTTTTAAACAAAAAATTACAAGTATAATGTAAGTTTTTCATCTCTCACAGAATTAAATATCCCGTGTCTTGAGAAATAAAATAGTATCCAGGAAAGACAAACACATATAGCAGGTAGAGGAAAAAAAAAAAAAAAAAGGTTTGCCAGACACTAGAAAGCACACAGTAGCTCTACAGAAATGTAAAGTTAAAGTGTATCACATTTCACAGTTCCACGTGGCTCTAAAATGTTATTGATTAAAACTAGTTAAGACAAAAGATCTCTGTAGGTACCAAATACTCTTCCTCTAAGTTCTCAATGCTTTTACTGGTTTACCTGTGTTTACAATGCAACTTGCTTACAAGAAGGCAGGTCAGATGTATTACCGTATAAACATCTCTGATACTGTCTATCAAAAAATGCACTTGGACTTAAGAGGAAGAAGTTAGGGATAAAAGCATCAAATGTTTAGGGTCAACTGTCCAGAATGCTCTTTTTATCCTTACACCTTTCTGCAATCACAGTGCATTTAATGAATGTAGATGACATCAGATGAAGAACCACAGATAATGTGACAACCCAAAGTCAGCTCAGTCCACTGGGCCTTCTGAAAAATGAGAACACCACAACTGTACATAGAGTTTTCAAGTACCTGGAGGCAATGGTGTTTTTTTCTGAATCAAAACCACAGCAACTTTGGTATTTCTTCCCTGCAAACTCTGCCTAAAATAAAGACAACATAGTACAGTGTCAAGGTTTCACTTCTTATTTCTGAATAACCAGAAAAAAAAAAAAATCAGTCTAGATGGAAGCACTGGAAGAATGCTACAAAGGTGAAAAACCCAAATGACACAATATGCTCAATCATTCAGAGAATGCGATCTTCCTTCTTTTGGGACAATTGTGCTGAGTTTAGCAAGTAAAATTTTAGGGGCTGTTTTTACTTAAGTAAAATAAGTAACAGTTTTACAAATAAACCATTAAAAAAGTTCTTTACTGTGAGTTGTATATTAAAAAGCAAAGTTCAAGTTCCCCTTAACTCATGTTTAAGAAAAAATATTATATGTTCTAGAATGCAAACAGATTCTCCAATTCACACTTACATTAGCTTGCAGTACATTATAAAGCAAGTGAAAAAAATCTACCTGACAATTTCAACTCGAGTAGCACACTCCAGCTGTTTTTCCTTCCACTGTGGCTCATCCCAGTCCAGTTCATAGAATACCACCACAAGTGCTGGAACCAAATTCAGGTGTTTGTTCATCCAACCAGTCTTCAAGATTCCTTTTGGAATATACCACTCATAGGATGTCCGCTGAAAATATTGAAGATATTGAAGCAAGCTACAAAAACCATTTACAAATATTTATAGCACAAGAAATGGCATATTCTCTACATTCTTGTCACTAAATATGTTTGTCATCTTGCCTTTAACATTGTTCCCTTCAAGCTTTTGCTTCCTATTAAGCCATTTCCCTCTACAGCTCAGGCATCAGGGCCTGATATCAGCAGCAAAGAACAACAGATTCCAGGAAAACTAGAGAGGAGGGTTAAGTTCAGGTGCAAGTCTCATACACTGCCATGAAATGCTAGGCTCAATTGAAAACAATGGTTTTAGATTATTTGTCTTTGCCAGCATCATGGAACTACGTAGTTTCCTAACAGCTAAACTCATTGACTCATCGCTTCTTAACTTGCCATTGCAAAGCAGAGAGAATAGCAGAGATATTCTTTCTGCTGTGTTTCACTCAGTTAAAGTGACATGTTTTGTAAAAAAAAAGCCTGATAGGTCAGGTTAGGGTTTTTTTTTGTTTGTTTGTTTGTTTTTGGTTTTTTTTCAGAACACATTATCTAGTTTCTCCAGAGTTGAGTATTGGGTTTCATTAAAGATCAAATTTTACAGGGTACCTTAATGCTATGTAGAAGAGGAGCAAGTACTTTAAAAAGCAAACCATATGGGCTTTCTTTGCTTCTGGCTCATGAGCTAAGGCATCCCTAGGTTTCCTATGCACAAGCAGCACTCCATCACAACGCCCTCGCCTGCTCCTTCGCCCTCACTTGAAGCTCCCACACTTTCCCTCAGAACTGGGGGAAGAGGCAGCCGGGGTCCGGCAGAGCGCGGCGGCAGCCGGCCGCAGCCCAGGCAGAGCGGAGCACGGCCCGTGCCCGCAGGGAGCACCGAGTCCCGCTCCCGGGGCAGCGGGCGGGACCCAGCCAGGACGGGGCGCAGCCGGGGCCGGCGCCGCTCGCTACCTTCGTCCTGCACTTGGGGTACTCGTGGTCGCCGGGCAGCACTTTGAAGGAGATAGGGACGCGGTCGGCTCTGCGGTTGGCGCAGAAGGCGTCCCACACGGCGCGGTGCACGGCGTTGTACACCACGTCCAGGCCGGTGAGCGTGACGAACGCCATGGGCCGGCAGCACAGCTCCACCGGGAAGTCCCAGTGAGACGGAGGGGTCATCCTGCGCCCGGGACGGCGGCCTGCGAGGCCGCGGGACGGCGGCGGAAGGGCGGCCCAAGCCGGCCACAAGAGCGCCCCGTTGTCCCGGGCCCGTGCTCCCCGCAGCGGGATGGAGCCGGGAAGCGCCGGGAAGCGCCAGCTGGGAGCGGCCGCGGGTCACGGGAGGCGGTGCGGGCGGGCCGCCGCCTCAGGAAGCGAGCGCCGGGCAGCGTCAGAGGGGCAGCGAGAGCGGCCAATCGGCGCCTCCGCTGCACCCCTCGGACCAGTCAGGAGCGCCCGCGCGGGGACGTCACTGCGAAGCAGCCAGTGAGAGGAAGGAGGAAGCGCGGGGGGACGCGCAGCCGGCCAATGGCAGGGCAGGGGGCGGGGCCCGCGGGTGCCCCGCGCTGCCCTCGGGGAAGGCGCGTCCGTGCGAGTCCGGCGGGGCTGCGCCAGCCAGGCCCGCCCAGCCCCGGCGGCTGCGGGGCCGGGCCGGGCCCGAGGGAGCGGGGCTGGGAGCCGGGCTGGGAGCGCGGAGCTCCGGGCATGGCGGCCAACGAGGACCAGGAGGTGAGTTCGGGGCCCCGCTGCCCGAGGGAGAGCGGAACCAGGGCCGGGAGGGCGGCATAGAGGCGGCGGCAGGAGGGAGCTGGGCGGCGGCGGGGCGGGCGCGGCGTCGCGCTGGGAGCCCGTCGGTGCGAGCGCCGTGCCGGGCCGCGGTCGGTAACCTCTGCTCTGGCCCTGGCTGCAGATGGAGCTGGAAGCGCTGCGCTCCATCTACGAGGGAGACCTGTGCTTCAGGGAGCTCAGCCCGGTGTCCTTCCAGTACAGGGTAAGGCCAAGCTACACCTTGAAGTTACTTTGCTGCCTTGCAGTTGCCGCACTAGGGGCAAAAGAGGTATCCGATGTGCAGTAAAGGATAGATCCGCAGGGCGATTTTTCAGGATGTTTGGTACAACAGTGCTTCATAGCACAGAATGTCATGTATGTGAACCTGCTCCCAGCATGGATTTATTACAGAATCACAGAACGGGTGAGGTTGGAAGGAGCCACAGTGGATCATTTGGTCCAATCTCCCTGCTCAAGCAGGGTAATCCTAGAGCACAGGGCACAGGATTGTGTCCAGATGGTTTCTGAAAATCTACAGCGAGGGCGACTCCACAACATCTCTGAATAATCTGTTCCAGTGCTCGGTCACTGCACATTAAAGGAATTCTTCCTTATACTCAGGCTGAACTTCCTGTCTGTCAGTTTCTGCCGGTTTCCTCTTGCCCTGTTGCTTGGCAGCACAAGCCATTTGTCCCTGAGCCAGGCATGTCTGTGCCCTGCATAGCCAGAACTGTCAAGTTCTCTGTAGGAGCCAACTTGCTGTGTAATATTTACCCTAACAGGTCAGAAATGGTGAGATGTATAGAGATGTTTCTATGTAAAATTTGGAGCCTTTGTTAACTGCTCGGTTACAAGGTTCCAGTCTCTTGTCCAAAGATTACTGATCATGTCTTGTTTACCTGCTAAGGAGAAAATCCACAAAATGCTTTGGGCGTGTGCACTCAGGGTCTCATCAGAACAAACATGCAGGGACATGACATAAGCTTAAGGTACACAACTAGATTCTGGCATTAAATTCCCACCAGCTTTCTCAGATTTAAAAACCTGGAAGTTCTTCTGGACACAGACCGAGGCAGATCTTTTGATGGCTATAAAACTTTACTTAGGCACCTATGGGACAGAAGGGAGACTTCTGAAAATGCCATATGCCTGTTTCAGGGAGAAACCATCTAAAATCACCTTTCTGTGTCTTCTCAAATAACTTAAGAATAATATCACTAATTGTAATGGGAATCAGCTCAATTAATTAACGCACTTGGAATCCCAGCTGTGTAAGAGTAGCCTTTCTTCATTTATTGGATCATTCTTAATAAATTTAATTTATTTAAAATGGAAAATATGACATGCCTACAAGCCTAAAGTGTGTCATTGTACTTTTCACTAGCTTTGGTTGTTGCTGATTTTTATTAGACAAAAAATAATTTAGGATAGTTAGGATAACTCAAATACAATAAAACTTAGTGTCAATAATACATCTTTCCCATTAAGAAAAAATTGTCATGTGAGAAGTCATAATGCAAGTAAGTGCATGAGAAGATAGAAAGAATTTGTGGGACTTTGTAGGATTTGCACTGCATAGAGAGTGCTTTCCTCAGAGAACCCTGTGAACACTGCAGCCAGTTCTGCTCTTGGTGGCAGTGGGAAATTAACTGTAAATGCCTTGAAAAAGTTGCAGATTTTTGATTTAAAGTCTTACTTATTTTACCACTAAACAAGTGGTTTTGAATGTCAGTCTAGTCTGCTGAAACAGATATTGTAAATAAGAAAGCAGCAATTTTTTGTTTACTTTTTTAATTTTGAAGAACCATAGCATTACCTTGATTAGGACTTCTCTTGTGGACACACTTTATTCTACATAGTTAGATAAAGGCTGATTTTTATAATGAGGCAAATAAGGGAAAATTTTGTGTGATTTTAGAAGCCTTACTGTGCTCATCTTCCAAATCCTTGTGTAAAGCAGTTATTTTTGATTGTATGTCAGTAGTATGCAGTAATTTTTTTTTTTTTTTTAAATCCAGACTCATTCTACTGACTTCTTAAGTCTTTTACATACTGGGAAATAAAATACCTGTAGGTATAAGACATAAATATTGATATTCTTACCCATTATTTTTGCAATCTTAGGTTACTAGTTTATTATCATTTTTATTTCAAACCTGACTTGTAGCTCGTTTTCATGTTGCTCTGTGCTTAGATGCATGGAGGGGGGGAAAGGCTTCATATTTTCTGTTCTCATATGTGATAGTATAATATTTAGCTTGAAGATACTACAAAGTAGCTTTTAAGCAAAGGAATTTAAAAACCAACCATAAAAAGAGATTTGACGGTTTCTGCTGCTGCTTCTAGAATGAAAATCTGCAGGTTCAGTGTTAATATTGATGTCTAAAATTTAATGTTCTTTCTAGGTAACAGCTTTATTTTCTAACTGATAACTCTCAAGATTGTCTCAAGATATTTTGATGGTCTAAAAGAAGTAATAGACTTTTGTATTGGCTTCATAATCCTCAGAAAGTGACTGGAAACTGTTGATTTATAAAGTTGGGGTTTTTCTTTCTTCAGATAGGAGAAAGTGGAGATCCCAAAGCCTTTCTAATAGAAGTTTCTTGGCCAGAAACATATCCACAAACAGCACCAGTCATATCAATGGATGCTTTCTTCAACAACACAATGTAAGTATTTGTGACAGCTTCACTCTCTGGCCTTCTGGTGGGGGCTCTTTCTTTGAAAAGCTTTTTATCACCTGTCTAGTTTACAGTTGAATTTAATGATTTCTTTTAGATCTTCAGCTATTAAGCAAAGTATATTGGATAAATTAATGGTAGAAGTTGAAGCAAATCTTGGAACTGCAATGACATACACACTTTTTGAATATGCCAAAGACAATAAGGAGGTGTTCATGGAAAATCAACCTGTTAACACTGTGGTATGTAGATAAATTCAGTTTTTAATTTTGTGCCTTTAAAACTGAAAAAAAAAAAAATTGATTATTATAACCTGAATACTTTAGCGTTCTAAGCTGTAAATCAGTTCATTGGTTATACATGTTAGTGGTTGAAAGTGGCACGCAAAGTATGGTGCCACAATGCTCTGTGGTGGTAATTGTTCTATTTGATAGTTATTTTGCTGTTACACCAAAATATTTGCAGCCTGCTGTTATGTCCCACAGGATAACATTAAAATAGAGACTTTGAGCAGAAGCAAAAAAAAGGAAGCTGAAACAGAGATGTGTCTGTTGAGGATTGGAGGGCTGGCAATTTATTGCAGCCTTCTTGGGATTGTATAAGTGCACCTCCAGGGTCTTAAAGTAGTCAGGCTGGGTCAGTTTGTGGCTTTTGGGTTGTGTAAGTTCATTGTTTGCCATGATGGTGCAGCAGATCTGTTTTGAGGAGGAAGGAATGATTTCTCTGTGTGACATCTGAATCCATTCAGACTAAAGCACACTCTATGATTCAATTTTAAAAGTGAAAAAGGTGCCCTTTGCAACTGGAAGAGAATAATTCCAGTTTCTAACACATTTTTTTAAAAGTACAGCCCTGATTATATGTGGATTAAAAGCTGCAGGGTGCTGACAGCATCACTTCTTTCTGACAGTCAAGGTATTTCAGTATGTCCGGTTCAGAAATCACATCACACAGGAATATACGTGGAACTAATATGCAAAATGTTTACAACCACTTTTATCCTTCTCAGACTTCAGTAAGCAATAGTATTTCAATTGGAACTCCTGATGTGCCACCAAGTAAGAAAAAAGAGAAAAAGGAGCAGTTATCCAAAACCCAGAAACGAAAACTAGCCGATAAAACAGGTTTGTTCGTTATACTAATCTTTGCTTTGATCAGTATGAAAATCCAAATTTTATAGCAAGGACAGCTGGATAGAGCAATAGTAACTAGTAATTTGTTTATTAGATCAACCACTCTAGGTCTGTGGTCTCCATTTTATTTGTTCTAGATGAATAATTCTTGCCTGAGATGTTAGTTCTGGTGACAGCAACTTTCTATGGAGTTATGATTTAATAACATCTTTATTTTATTTCAGTTGGTAACAAAAAATAAATTTTCAAAAAACACTTGTGGAAGGAGACGATTTGGGACCTCTAAAAATTTACTTTCAGCAAAAAATTCAGTTTGTTGCTGAGCTCTCATCAACATTTTAATAATTCACATTATTAAAAATGAAATTTCTAAACAAAAGTATTTTATTAGGAACCCAAAATAAAGCATCTAATTTATTTTGCATTCTAGAAACAGAAGTGTTTCTGCAGATACTTAATGCTTTCAATGAAATAGAAGAATTTTGATTGAAAATGTTGATTACTTCAGTTAATTTTGCTGATGAGCCTTTCATGTTCACCTTCAGTTTTCAATAATGATCTGGATAATACTGTCCTGTTGTAGCAATACATTGTACCCTGTGATAGTGATTTCTGCATATAATCTACCTAACCTAATGTGTAATTGGCAAGCTTAATGTTAACTGTATAAATGTAATTCTTTGACAGAATTCATCATTGCTGGTTAGCCCAGCTCATATTGGAGCTACCTTCTAAACTAAATTTCAGGTGAACTGAGGTGTTTTTATTTAAACTGAATTACTTTGAATCACATAATCAGAGGATCACCAAGGTTGGAAGAGACCTTCAAGTTCATCTATCCAACTGTCGACCCATCACCACCATAATCATCCCTAAACCTATCCCCAAGTGCCACATCCAGACACCTCTGGACCACTTCCAGAGACAGCGACTCCACCACATTCCTAGGCCACTTACTCCAATACCTAACTACTCTTTCAGTGAAAAATGTTTTTTTGAAATCTAAGCTTAACCTCTCCTGGCACAGCTTAAGGCCATTTCATTTCCTCCTTTCACTTTGAGGTTGGTTGAAGAACACACTGTGTTTAAGACTTTAAAATCTGTTTCTGTTCTCATGGCTTCAGAGTGCAGAAATTGAGGGGTTTGGATATTTAACATTTTGTGGGTCAATTTTGAAGAAAGAGAAATAATCCCCTTAGCTTGTGTGCTGAAATTAAAATCTTTTTCTGCAGATAACAAAGGAGAGCTTCCACGAGGATGGAACTGGGTTGACGTAATAAAGGTAAAGTGAGTGTATTATATACAGTATTGTGAACATGCTGTGTATATAAATTAAAAATTATTTGTACTTATATCTGAAGAAAACTGATCTAATAATTTTTTTCTTGCTTTTCTTCCTAACTATGTTTGGATTTGACTTTGATGTCTGATTAATATCTATGTGTCCAGCATGTAAGTATTTTCAAGTTCTCTTTTATTACTCTTTTCGTTGAAAGATTTGTAAGAAAGAGTAAGAACTGCTTCTTATTTTAGATTGTAATTTACAAATTTCTCAAAAGCTTTAAAATGCTAGTTCTTCTGAATATTTTTCTGAAAGATTTCGCTCTTTGAACTTCATTGGTTTCTTTTTTATTTACTGCGCAATTAGATTTTAATTTTGTGATAAGAGGACTTTGCTAACCAAATGCATTGCAAATATTCTGTCTTCATATGACAAGAAGATTTAAAATAATGTTAATAGTGCTTCCAGGTTCTGGAAGGCAGTGCATAAGTAAAACATAAAAGGGAGCTGTCCCAGGTGGGAGCACCTTGCTGTCTCCTACAAGCCTTATTCTCTGCTACAACTCTTCCAGTGAATAATTCTTTTCTACTTGCTCCCTCAGTATTGATTTCTTCCACCCTCTTGTCTTTGCTGATTCAGTAAAAATCACTGCCTGACAATTTTGAAAGCAAAGTATTTTATTTTACACAGTTGAGGTAATTTTCACCAGTTCCAGTTGTTAAATAAGAGCAAGTAAATGATGAAGGTTTGGGCAGAGTCCTTCTGAGTTAAAAGTGTCTGTTTATAGTGGATGTCTTGGTTTTCAGATAGATGTAATGATAGGCATGCTACTTTTATTAATTATAAGCCTAGCTTTAAAAGGTGAGAAATACTAATTAATGTTACTATCTATTTTTATATTGTTTAAGTTTCTGTATGGGAATTCTCTCAGACATGTGTGAAGATAATGTTCCATTACTTCATCTTTTTTTTTTCTTTTGGAGAGCTGGTGATAAAGCCTTCAAATTAAATAGCAACAGGGCCCTGAGGTTTTTCTGGGGTTTATTTGTG